TTTTTTTTTCATTTTAGACAAAAGGAGAGATGAGGAAGAACCATCGATTGGTACGGCAGATGTTTAAAATCATTCTTTTTATCATTCTTTTTATTTGACCTTTTCTTGACTGGCTAATTGCTTCGTTCTTCTGCCTCTGCCTGTAGAAAGTAGGGTTCTTCAACCAGCAGTATGCTGATCAGCTGAACATGGAGGAGTCTCCCACAGAGTACCTCCAGAGGAACTTCAACCTCCAATACCAGGATGCCAGGAAGTGCCTGGGTCGCTTTGGGTTAGAGAGCCACGCACACACCATCCTGATCTCCAAACTGTCTGGTAAGCACTATAGGAATGCATTCATGTATGATTTTCAAAGTCATCTGTCCTTCGTTGACATTTTTTTCTGAATTGTCCTGTGTGTTTGTTTTTTAGGTGGTCAGAAAGCAAGAGTGGTATTTTCTGAACTTGCTTGTCGGCAACCTGACGTCCTTATTTTGGTAAGGAGTAAATGTTTTAAATATCTCAAAAATGTAAGTAAAAATGAGAGCTTTAACATTTTCTAACCATGCAAATGTACAGGATGAGCCCACAAATAACTTGGACATCGAGTCGATTGATGCATTGTCAGAAGCCATCAACGAATACAAAGGGGGTATGTTTTTTTCCCCAAACATTATTGATCACAAATGCTATGTTTTATTTGTTGTGGTATATAATCTTAAGTGCATGTAAACCTATTCAGATGCTCTATAAGATTTATAAACTATATACAATAATGATAATATTATTAAGGTGGAAACCAGGGAGTAAAATCTTTATTATTAACATTTAATATGAATTTGTTTAGCTGTGATAATTGTAAGCCACGATGCCAGGCTGATCACCGAGACCCAGTGCCAGCTGTGGGTGGTCGAGGACCAGTCGATCAACCAGATTGATGGAGACTTTGAAGAATACAAGAGAGAAGTGCTGGAGGCTCTTGGAGAAACCCTGGTCAACAAGCCTAAAGAATGAACAATGGCTGGTATTAATAACAAGAGTGTCAAACTACATCACTAAAGGGCTTTTTGTTGCATCTAACTAGGCCTCAATAGAACCAAAAATTTTTTGTTAAATTGATGGATTATGCCGAGCACCTGCATGCAAACGGTGCAGGGTGATATACACAAACCCTACAGAACCAGGATGGGGTTTTTCACATCTTTTACTTTACACGTGAAGACTGATTCCAGATCACTATTTTTACTTGCTGACAATTTATACATACAGCGCTTGTTCTTTAGTCATGATGTCTGGCATTCTTGTATTATGCTTACATTCATCATTACCAGCTCTGTTCATCCATGTGATGCAATGCTATAAAACACACTGTCACTATCAAATGTGAACAGATGGGGCTAACAGTGTGCAGTTTGATAATGGAGTCTGATTGCTGACACATACTTAGTATTAACCTGCCTTTGTAAGGAGTACTTCGGTTCAGGTCATTAAATTGTCATTATGCTTGCATTCTAAAGCAGATCCAAATTGTTTAACCTATATAAATGTTCAAACAGTGATGCTCCCGGTAGCTCATCTGTCTTGAATGATGAAATCAACTATTGACTAACTTGATTTGAATAAAAGATATTGAATAAAGTATGCATCCAAATGTCATGGAAAAAGCAAATAAATAATTTTTGCAACAAAGTCAAGTTTATTTAGTGCTTTTATTTGAGATTTCTTATACTACGCTTGTCTTGCATGGACAAAATGTAACAACATGAATGGAAAATGTACATTTTCTTCTTGCTCATATTAAGTACTGTTATGGAAACATAATTTGGATGAAACATCCACAATTGAAATTACAACCACTCTTTCAATAGACCTTAATCGGTAGCGCAATATGTAATTTTTTGACAGGAATGAAAACGAGGATGAGGGATAGAAGTACATGGCGTTTAATGAGGTGCTGTTTAACAACATACCGATTTTTCAGCTAATGAAATGTCTTTCCAAAAAGCTTTCAGTAGACAACGCCATAAAGAGTTTGAAAAATGACATTGTAAAGACAGTAAGTCTCTATATCTCACTGCCTTGTTTTCATGCATGTAAAATACATGGCATCTGCTCTGACTAAGGTCTATTGCAACCAGATTCAAACATCCGGTTTCAGGTAGTCTTTGTAGATCCTCTTCACTCTTGCCAGTTCTCGCTCATCTGGTTTTATACTACCATACCACGAATACCACAGTTCTCCAGAGCTGAGAGAAAATGGGGCAGGGGTTGGTGCTACAGCACCATGAGTGTTTGTGTAGTCCTCTTTAGAGTAATCAACATGAGGCAACTGAACAGCAAGTAAACCTTAAACAGAGGAGAAAAGAATCAAATCACATTAAGCACGTGTGCACCAAATAATGAGATTTATCATTTCCTTCTGGCTCTTTCATAAAAGGACTTGTGCACACTGACACTTATAACAAAAAATGTAAATTTACCACAATCTCTAGCAGTTTCGATGGCCTTGCTAAGTAGTTTCTGTTGTTTCATGCACACACCTGAGGAAAGATCAAGAGTAAAATGGTGATCAGACCACGAGTATATCAGAAATATGATGTACTGAGAAATTCATTACCGGTTCGAGTGGGATCGTGCACAATTCCTGTTTGAGGACTAATGAACTGCTGCAACAGATTCACATTCTGCAGAAAAAAAAGTGTCTATTAAAGCAAATACATTTAAAGTGTAATACTTACATTTTCCACAATGAAAACATGACAGAAAACACACCTTGTAATGGACAATGAGGTTTGGATCACGACAGATGGGACAAGGGTTACCACATATCTTATCCCCTCTCTACAAGACAATCATCCTCATTAATACAAATTAAATGGACTGAAAAAATAACATCTGAACAATCAATCTAAAACAAATGTGTACTTACAATACAGGTCTTTCTTGTCTTTTGAGGAGGGACGCCCCCCTTATGATTCCTTCTGTAGTTAGACCACACAAGCTTTGATCCATAGCGCTCAATGTACTCTACAAGAGAGGTCTGACCAACATTAAGCACTGTTTCACCACAAGTGCTTCATTTAATCATATAATCAATCATATTTACCTTCACTTTCTAAGTATTCCCATGGTCTGTCTGAATATCTAGACAGTGTCTCTGCTGATTCTGTGCTTTCAGCAGACGATGATGATGATGATAAAGCACGAAACTTCAGACGCAGCCCTGGAGCAGCACTTGAAGTTATTGTCCAATCACGAATTCTCTGTAATACAAAATGGGTAAATAGTCCTTTACGTTGGTTGAGGTGTTTGGACGCGAATGACTGCCCTCTAACCACAACAAATACAAGTATACATCCTGTATAAATAAAAACATTCATTAAAAAGATGTTATCGGTAACCAACCAACCTGTGTTTGAATTTTTCGCTGTAAAATGACAGGAAATGTGCGGCAGATAGCTATTCCAATGCGTTGTAAGGAAGCCGCCATTTTGTCTTTGTAGCAAAGGAAGTTGTTGAGAGGATAAGTGTCCTGTGACGGAAGTGCGCATTTATTGTTCACTTTTTCGTTTTAAATGAATTCAGTTTACCAACTAGTCAAATATTTCTGACAAAAATCTATTTAAAATGCATTTTAAATCCCCTCATGTTCGCCAGTCTGCCTGTGCAGTTAATACATTTTTGCCGATGTTTTGCTTTTCTTTTATAGGAATATTACTTGTGGTTATATATTAAATTACCATTTAAATGAATGAATGTTTTATAATATATGTATACAGTGTGTTATGCTACGTATTATAATAAACCCAAATGTAACTCCACCAGTTATAATGAAAGGAATTAAACATCACAAAGAGTATTTTCCATCCTTTACCTTGTCTGTTTCCACTGATCTATATTATATTATAACTCTATTATAGATCAGCGTCTGTTTCTCATTTTAACCCAGGTTAAAGGTTGAATCTACCTCAAAAGAGCTAGTTCTTGAATGGGCATAAACGAATATGTCTATATTGTTGTACAGTGATGCAGAGTAAATTCTTTCATCATTTGTAAATGTCAAAGATTCCACCAAATGAACGCTCGCCTCTGCACCGGAAGACGGGGGTGGGGGGGGGGGGGGGGGGGGGG